CCAGCGTCTTCCAGCGTACGCCAGCGGCAGGTCGGGGAAAGGATAGATATCGATCTAGCGTTCCCAGCGTCACCAGCGTACGCTAGCGTAGCGAGGGCACGGGAAGCATAGCTATCGATCTAGCGCTCCCAGCGTTTCACGAGCGTAGCGTTTCGCTAGCGTTTGCAGCGGCGGGGCTAGAGAGTATAGAAGAGTAGGAGAGTACAAAATACTCTCCTACTCTTCTATACTCTCTGGCAAACGCTAGCGGGCTAGAGAGTATAGAAGAGTAGGAGAGTATTTTGTACTCTCCTACTCTTCTATACTCTCTAGCCCCGCCGCTGCAAACGCTAGTGAAACGCTGGGAGCGCTAGATCGATAGCTATGCTTCCCGTGCCCTCGCTACGCTAGCGTACGCTGGTGACGCTGGGAACGCTAGATCGATATCTATCCTTTCCCCGACACTGCCGCTGGCGTACGCTGGAAGCGCAAAGTATAAACGCAGCCTAAGGCATGATAATTTGGTATTTGCTTACAAATCGCAGCAGGGGTGCTATAAAACGGGAAACTGACGGCAAAAAGAGAATTACTCGGCCAGAAAGCTGGGAAGAAGCCTTTGTTCTGCAGGGTACTGGACGAGAATTTTTGGACGAGTTTCCCGCTGGCATCGTGCCAACATCCGCTTTGATAGATAAGGTTGCAGTTGCACACATGTATTCCTACATTCGTGAAGCAGCGCTCCATATCAACTGTACTTCGGAAATGAAACGGTAAGAGTATCAACACTGGTGTGATTGTGCGGCCATTTGTGGGCGGGCGGTTGCGGTGGGCGTGTAGCGGCATGTTGTACCTTGGTTAGGTTCTATAACGGTGCCTCTGGTTGGAAAAAAACGCCCCGTAGAGCCTGGTCAGGGATTAATTCTGTCCTGCTAGGGTATTCATCCCACACGCTTTGCCTATTTATCGTGCCATTTGCCTTCGAGACACGGACTTAAAGTCACACGTACCTCTTCTTTGACAGCTACTGCTGCAGCAGCCATATTTGCCACATCGACCAGCGATGCCATAGTGGTCGATAGGTTCGCTATGTCAGCCAATGTTGAACACTGTGATGTGGTTGTCACCGTTGACGCCGTTGCACTAGAAGCCGGTGCTGGCGTCGATGGCTTGATCTCTAGTCCAACGGCCAGCTGCTCTTCAACTGTGTGTGATTCACGCATATGTTTTTTTAGTCTGCAAAAAAAATTTGAATTGATCAGCTCTGTTGAAATGGTGATTTCAAATGAACATCGAACATCAAATTCACATACCTCCCCTCAGTCCGACTTGTGTAATCGCACATACTGCATTGATGATCGCCATGAGTGTTCATATGGCTATTATAGTGGAATTTCGAATTACATGAAAAACCACAAATTGGACAAACAAGAGCTGCATTCTGCCCGGTTGTTGGTGTACAGAACGCTGCAGGACCTAATCCAGGAGGACGGCAGAATGACGCTAAAATGTGTGTGACTAAAAAAATTGTATAGCCATGAATTTTTAGAAAACTTACAATTACTTTCTGAGGTTGACACTGGTGATTCGGTTGCAGAGAAGGCGCTGTTGATGATGACAGGGGTGGTTAGGTGTGAGGTGGTTGTAGTGGGCACATTTGGATCGCTAGCTTTGCCGCTTTCCGTTGGCGACGACGGACATTGAATCCGAGATTGTTCACTGGATGAGGCGAACGACTGCTGCGAGAAGTTGAGCAGGAGGTGCCTGTAAAGGAGTTCACTAAGGTAGCAATTTTTCTGACACTGGAATACTGTAATGCGACATCTGGCTCGGAAACCTCTCCGTCAAAACAGCCAAACCAGAGGGGATAAACGAGAATCAAAAAAAGGATCACCGGAAAACTAGGAAACATCATGAGAGCTTGTCAAGTGGTTCTGACCCAACCAAAAAATGTTCCAAAAACCAACGAGGACTCAGTTCGGAATCTCCTGATGACGAAATGCCCCAAATTAATTATCAGGCATGCGAATGGTCTAAAGGAGGAGAAGTGCGAACGCGAAGCTGGTCCCTTTGAGTTACGTTCACCCTTGCCAGCTATGGGACACCAGTCTTGTTGTACTCACCGCCAGGCCACAGGCGAGTTATGGACCAGTCCTGTGGAGCTCAGACATACGAGTTTCCAAGGGTTCCTCCTATAGGACGATCACGATACCCTCCCCCCCCCCCATATCTTCCAAGTTGTTACCACTTTTTTCAGTTTTCCAAAAAGTTTTTCAGCTTTCCAACTGGAAAATAGCAGGACTTCAGCTGCATGGCCAAATAAGACGGCGGTACAGCCGAAGTCCGGGGGTATATAACGGGGTATATAGAGGGGGGTGGAAATAGGAGACTCCCAATGACGTGGGTAGTGCAGGTGAGCAGAAAATGAGCTATCGAAAAGTTTTTTAGGCCAAATACGACAGACCGCCTTCCTAGCGTCCAAATATCACCCCAACCCCGCTGAAGATACCCCAGTGGACGAAGAACCCTAGTACCACTCGGTGGCTAAGCCTTCCTAATCAAGTCTGTACACAGTACTGCTTACAAAAGTATCGCTCCCGTAAAGGATAAGAGGAACACTAATCGTAATTTCCACAGACATGCTTTGGCCTACCAAAGAGCACATTTTTAAAAACTTTCAAAAATGCGGTTTCATGGTTTGAAAGCGAGCATTTGACTAGCTATTTCGATTCCTTCACTTCTGCTAGGATCGCTGCAAAAACAAGCCAGAGATATTTCCAGCTATCACGTATCACCCTTGCATGACGCGCTTTTAAACGTGTGCTAAGCGAGGGAGTGAGGAATGAGGTGCAAGAGTCCAGTCAAACTCACGAGGCTTCATCTTCCTTGTGTGATGTCGTCGTGCTAACATGGTTGTCATCGTTGTCGTCTGGATGCCCTTCGTCTGTCTCTGAATATCAAAAACAAAAGTGTTTTCAGAGATTCTTCACGTCACTTTCTGTTATCGATCTTTCAGAGAATCTTCAGCAAATGTTTTCAGAAGGAAATGAGAAGGAATCGGAGAAAGACGACGGAATGCTAAACTCGGCAAACAATTCATTATGTAGCACTTCAAAAAACGAATTTTTTTCTGATCAGTTGTACATAATGGCAATTTTAATTAATGAAAATTACTACTATAGTTGGAAGCCTACACTACACATGCCAGATTTTTCTTCACTCCTTTTTGTGAGAAGAGAAGGCATGAGCTAGGATCTATCCTTGAATGGGATTTATCGGCGAGTACCCCCATATCTCTAAGAGGCCTAACCCATTGGGGCTTTTCATCTTGAAGCTGACATTTGCATAGGCTTGAATTCCATAAGTTTGATGCCAGTGAGCTGTAATCCCTGCAATACCGCCCCTACTTTCTGTAAAATCGACTATTTTTGACGGATTAATCCGTCGCCAAAGTCGCTTTGACATAACTTTCGTGAAAGTTGTCTGTATGTGTGAAAGTAAGACTAGTCGATAGTGCTTGGCATGGCGAATCCAATGATGCATTAATCCCCCAGTTTCAATCAACTTCTTGGTATCTTCCATGATGAGAGAAGATTGAGTCTCTAGCTACCTGAGGTGTTACCTGCGGACACGGCTGCGCTACCTTCATTCAAAATCTTAAAGTGTTCTGAACACGGCTTGACCACTACAATAACCTGCTGTGGCCAGCCCATTCACAACTCGGTGTTTTCGAGCTCGCGGACGAGACTGGTAGCAACTGAATTGCCTCGGAAAATGGAAGGCTCAGTTTCATGAACAACGTCGTTGTGGGGATTCGCCCACAGGGGGGTCTCGTATTAAGCTGAGAAAACTTTTTGATAGTTGATTTTTATTGTTAGATTTGCTCTTTGTTAAGAGAGGGGGCGGGTGTCGTAGCCCCAACACAGAACTGGCACCAAGAAGGGGGGGGGAGGGTAGTACGGACTCCATCAAAATCCTCAACTGATGAAGTAAGTCAAGTGGAATGATGTGAATGATACAATTCTTGAAGACTCACTTTCCAAGTGAGTTCATAAGCTTTCGTGGGAGTTTTGGGACTTTTCAAGTCTTTTAATTCCTCCTACGTTAACGTTTGGTTTTTTTGTGTTTTATACTATTCAAAATAGTAAATATAGTGTCCAATCAATGTTTCAATAATGTTACGCTTTCGCTAGTCTAGAGAGATGCGTAATCGTTTCCATTATTGGTTGTGTTTCTAGTCGTCGAATTGGCGCATTAATTTGATTATGGACGTCGAGTGGCCACTACGCTCAGATTAAAAGGGCCTTTTGTGATATGGCGAAGATTTCCCACACGTCCGAACAAGTCCACTCAGTCCCTTTCATTCATTTGTCCAATTGCCGCAGCAATATGCACATTCTATTCCTCCGAATTATCTCTTCTAGCATTACCGTTACTTTCATATGAGGGCCAAGTAAAACTGTGGAAAAAGTAAGGATCCGAAGTAGAAGAAGCGAGTGTAAAAAAGTAGGAGTGGTACTGGTCCCACACTATTTATGCAGTTCGTTGGTAACTAAGGACAACTTAAGTGCTACTCGTTTACAGCAATTTAGCATTGATAGTAGCTTACCCTAGCAGTTTGTGCTCCTACGCTCTGGATAAACTGAAATATAATTCACCTAAAGGTCAGCAATGCAATTTTGGCATTTCCTGCGGTTGATCTGGATCGTAAGCCATATGGGCGCAGATGCTGCGCCTGTTACCATTATGCTAAGCAGGCATCGAGTGAATTTTAGCTGTATTGTACCAGAAAAAGATTCGGGAAAAAAAATACAGGGTGGGACCTCCGTCTGCCAACAAGTAATCAGTTGTTATTTCCTGACATATTTTATCTGTGAAACACGATTTCCGCGCAAAAATCAAAGAAAATAAAGAACATTCGAAAAGTAATAGTTTCGGCTTACTTTTCTTCTTGTTCTGCAGAATCATAGGTGGCCTAATAAATGCGATGTGGCCCATACAATGACTTGTGGGAGCCAGTCAATGTTCAAGTCAGCGTCCTTATCCTCCCAGGCGAATCTGCTACCAGCTTACGGCCCCGGAGTTCAGAAAGCTTGGTTGGCCTGGGCAGGAGCCCACCCCGAATTTGACCCCATACCGCGTGCGGTTAACGTGCCACTTGCCCCTACACCGCCTCGCCTTAAGCAGACAAAGATGTTAAGTGAATCAAATCGTTAGAAAGCTTTCAGGAGGGTCGAGGCGCAAAAAAGACCAAAACTGCTTTCGCTGTTACCAGAAATATCTCACACGAGCTCACGCGCGTGTCCCTGCCGCTTTGCAAGTAGCTAACTGCAGCTTATACCTCAGAAAATAGGGTGCTTGAAGAGCGCAATAAGCTTGAGCACTCTCGCCCTTGCTGATGTGTTTGTATTATAGATCTTATAAAAAGAAAATTTACGAAAGGGAAATAGCGTTTATCCATGCATTGGTTTCTGTGGCGCTCATAAATGGCTCCCAGCGTTCATTTGTTGTTCTTGGTTGATGAATGGCATAGTCGGCTGCCTTTCTGTGGGATGGGTTTTCATGCCGGCCATTTCTAGGTACGCACAGTAAGACATGGGTTTGCGTGCACTATGCTTGCAACGGAAATAACTTGTATAAAAAGACATCGTCTCTATTTGTACCGTGGCGATGGATAAACTGGTCCTTATGCTATGCCCCCCTCCCTTCTTCACCCCTCTCTCTCCCTACGCCCATCGAGGTCACATCGATGTTGAAGGTATAGCCACGTTCTTCAAGAAAATCAAAGTTTACTCATCTAACTTTCAGCCTCAGTTTCCCAATAAAACCTGTCAACTAGTAGAAGAGGAGGAAGACCAATGCGGACCCATTTCAGAAACCAGATATTACCACTCACATCTCCACCGACTTGAATACGACCCCATTCCCTGAATTACTAAGGCAATGACATGCTATGTATGGTTTCCCGTTGAACTCCACATTTCATATTTTTCATATTTCTCATTTCGAAGATATTTCGACATTCAGTGACACTCACTATTTATTACTAAAGGCTCAAAACAACTCAGAAGAACTCTAAAGGCTTTAGGCAGGCACTTAGATCCCTTTCCAAAAACGACAGGCTTAGAGTTGCTCTGTAAGTCTCATAAACTTCAGCAGTTCTTCCCAGAAAGTTCTGAGCCTTCAAGGATAAATTTTGTTAGGCCAAGCCTTATTTTACGCATTTCAAGACCAACATGTGGTTTTATGGTAAAGTAGTACTGTAACAAATTCTAGAACTCGTTTCTAATGATCTTTGCTCTTTATGGTCTGAAAGGTTTTCCATGCACAACCACTTAAAATGACCTTCCTATTTCAAGAAGGTCATTTTCATTCGAGTCCTATTCAATTTCCTGTGGATGAACTCTGAGCGAAAACATGCCCTATAAAATTGCATCCAGTGAAGAGAGTTAATAGATTTCTGCTGGAATTAAGTTCAGTTCTATTTCGAAAAATCATAGGGTTTCTGAAAGGGACTTAGATGGCCGCATTTCTCTAATGAGATTCCAATAAAATTTCCCGTTTCTATGGCACCACAGTAAAAAGAACCTCTCGCTATTAAGATACAGCATCTTATTTATAACTTTATAGGTTTCCATAGGATTATCATCAATTTACCGTGGAGGGGAATGAGAGTTCTCAGTTGATGGTCTCCCGATCAATAAGGGCAAAATCGTTTCCAAGGGTGCATTATTTTCATTCCGTGCATGCCTCGCTTTTTTTTTCTTCATCGGGTTTGCTAGCCACTAAATTGACTTCCGCTTGGTGCAGTCTATTTTTAGACGAAAAGGGATTCGAGTTCTGCTGAAAGTCACCTATTTATAAACAGGGTACAACATTGTGATGTATGAAATGGTGGTGTCGGTACGACCACCCCCCCCCCCC